CTCGCCCCGCCCCGCGCACCCGCACCCCCACCCCCACCCGCTGACATATAGCACCGCCCACCCTTACACCTGCCCCGCCCACAACATACATAAAATGACGTTATTTTCTGCAGTATAGTACATAAAAGAATCATTGAAGGGCAAAATATGGTTCTTTTTGTAGCAGAGCCCTTATTAACACAGCTAATTAAAAACATCAATAAACGAAATAAATTTGGAAAACCAGTTTTTTAATCTATTACGCAAATGACATTTGTGTTTGTGTGTGTGGGTATAGGAAAATTAAAAGACACCAAAACGACTTGTTATGTGTAAATATTTTATAATGTGATAAGTTTAATCTATAAGTGTATTGTAATAAAGTATTTTTTTTAAATCGACCGAGTTTTATTTTATTCCCTCTTCCTATAATTCAGTTAATAAAATCAATTTAAATTTCACAAAATAAGGTCGCAATATACATACTGCTCACCAATAGTCTTACTATTCTAAATGCGAATATGGATGTATGGATGTTTGTAAGAACGTATTTCCAGAATGGCTACATGGATCTCAATGAAATTTGACAAAGATGCATACATAGGATACTTATTAAGTTTTTTTGATTTCGCATAAACATCAATAAATAAAACGATTACTTTATAACTTCAACGTTATACACACTTTATTTACAGTTACAGGAGCACTTTACACTTACAATGCTTTCTTATTAGAAATATAATAAAAATAATGAGTGTGAAGACGCGAAGGTGCTAGGAAGGCTTGGAGTGCTTCTTCCAGTACTTGCGCACGCACTCGTGTCCTGCGCGCGTCACGATCACCGTGCGCGTGCGCTCGCTCTGCCACGTCAGCACGCCCTGCGCACGCGCGTACTCACGCACCAGCGCGAAGTCAGCCTGCACACATACACACACACACACATTATATCTTTGTAGCAGTGGCTGGACGCAGGGGGGCAACTGAGAACTCCCTGTTGTATGTGCGTACCTGCGAGAGGAACTGATTGTACACGACGCCCTCTGTGTAGGAGAAGCGGTTCCGCTCCGCCTGCCACAGCCGGATCTGGTCCACCACTGTGGGCGGCAGCAGCGACGTGCTGCGGATACCGCCCGTCTCCGACTTCAACATCTGCGGACCACGTAGAACGTGTAGTGGTGCTGAGTTGGGGTCAGGGGGTCGGTCGGGTGAGTGCGGGGGGTACCTGGGGGTGCGCGTGCTGCTCGAGGTAGTGTATGATCTGGTCGGCGGTGATGCCGCCGCGCAACGCTTGCCGCACGGACTCGCGCGTCACCACGCCCACCACCAGGTTCGGGAACCTGGTACATATAATACTATTTCAAGCCTTATATTCTATGAGTACATGTTCCATCTCATTTATCTTTTTTTTTTTAATAAAATATTAGCAATTTTTTTTGTAAATTTATTAATATTTCTTTTACCATTCCAAAAAAGCTCTAGGCTTATGTAAGATATGGTTTACGACAATAGTCGAATGGCGGGATTTGAGCCCCCGACCTCGTGATTGGAAATCCGTACCCTTAACCATTAGACTATTGACGCTTAAATCTATATAAGTAAATAGCGAGTTTTTATGACTTTTTGAAAATAAAAAGTATAATAATGTGTGTCAGTGAGACCTGTAGAGCAGCTCAGTGAAGAGTCCGAGCAGCGCCACCTGCAGGCTGGTCTGGGTGTATGCGTACACGCGGTAGTTGGTCTCGACCACGATGTACCCGCGCCCGCCGGGTGCGCCGGGTGCGCCGGGTGCGGGGGGTGCGGCGGACGCGCCGGGTGCGGGGGTCGCGACGGGTGCGGGGGGCGGGGCGGACCCCTCGCGCACGCAGGTGATGTTCAGGGCGAGCCGCGTCGGGTAGAACCGTCCCGCTTTCCTCTGAAGTTACAACATTAAATGTAACAAAATGATTTACAAAAGTAAGTTCCAGTAAGTATGTACGGAGGTGAGACCTTCCTCTGGTAGACGAGACCGAACTCGCGCAGGTGCTGCAGGAACACCAGCATGTTGTTGCTCATGCCCTCCGTGCTGTAGTCCTGACAAACGTAAATATAAAACAATTATTACATATTCAAAACAGTAGAGAAGTTTGTCAGTGTCTGTGTGTCACCTTGCCGAGTGTACTGAAGCTGAGCTGGTAGAGGAAGGCGAGGCACTCCGCAGCACTGAGGCTCCTCTTCTCTGCTGTATGAAGGTAGTGCTGCAGGAACAGCCACACCTGAAATGGTTCCAGTAACACTTACAATTCACTTTAATTCAATTAAATATAAAAACAATGGAAATAATCATATGAGCACATATTTAACTAAGTGTATACATACGAGGTACACTTTATAAATAATGCGTTACATTGATATCTACCAAAGTTAAAATAAGTAACATCACCTGTTTAGCCGTGCTCAGCAACAGGAACTGGAAGCCCGCTCTTGTTATAACTGCAGACCCGTCTTCTGCATCTCTGTTATTACAATTTAATATCATTATTGTTGAAAATCTTTTAATTATTTCATTCATGTTCAATTTAACATTAATTTGTGATAATTTAAAAGCAATAAAGCAATAACTTTAGACTCCTGAAGTTTTACAGTAGAAGTTTAATACATTTTCTCGTATCAAGTGGTAACTGATATAATATACCTGGTCATCAAACCAGCATGCAGCAGTATCCTCACAGCATCAGCACTGATGCCTTCAGTCTGTGTGCTGCCCACCATGTAGTGCAGCACACACTCCCAGCGCTCGAGCGCATACGAGTCCAGGAATGCCACATCTCGTGCCTTGCTGTCTGGCTCCAGCGATGATGACATGCTCCATGGACGACCACTATAACAATTTTGTGTTAGTTGAGTTGTGTGGGTTTATACTGTTGAAACATTTATATGAAATATATTGTTGTCTTTCTTTAAAAATCTATTCTATACAAAACTTTATTTACATATAACAATTAGAGATGCAGTAGAAACAATTTTCATATTATTTCTTAATATAAAAAATATAAATAATCACAAAGGCTTACTTTAAATACTTTTACATATTTTAAAGAGTCAGAATGTCAGAAATAATACTATTTCTTACCCTCCTAACAAAGCAACTTTGAGGTTCTTTTTGAAGGACTGAGCCAGTATCCACCCGGGCAGACCTCCGGGTATTGGTGCCTCCTGCCATACTGATAGTTCCGACAATGCCTCACATGCTTTACTTTGCTCTCTGAAATAAAACAACAGAGGATTTACAGCTCAGGTTCTACTCATATTGGACATTAATTCATATGTTTTTGATTCTAAACTTACTTAGCATGTGTCTGCGAAACCCATGATGCAACCACAGCTTGCGGAACTGGCTGTTCCACAAATAGTAACCGGATCACAAAATGCCGAGCCAATTCTGGTAGTTCTCTATAAAAAGGTGATCATAAATTTTACTTTAGTTATAAAAAAAGAGTCATATTCTTTATTAAAAGTGTAAAATTAATTAAAAAGTGTACAAACCGGTACACAGCTAAACAAATCGTAGGATAATTATATAAGGTTTCTAAAAACTGTGGAGTTCTACTCTGCAGATATTCATGAAGATTTTTACATTGTAACGTCGGTGATGGATTCAAATTTAAGGACTTCGATTTGGAAGATTCGGACATTATTTTGAGACACTCTTAACAAACGAAACAAATTGATAATTAACACATAACATACAGAATTTATAGAACGTTAAAGATCATTATTAACAACAAAGTTGATTTCTTTGGTTACAAATAGTATTTATTTACTTATTGCAGTTTAGTGGGATTTTATTGTGTTTGATTTGTTGGTTCTTATTTGACATTGACAATTCGAAGATTTGAATTAAAATTGTCAATGTTAACAACACAGATTCTACAATAACAACACAGGTTATAATAAAACCTTTCTATTCCTCACCATCCTTAACATACAAAAGTTATTTAAAAGAAACTATTTAAGAACCACCTTAACTGTTCAATCATTTAATGTTATTAACAACACTACATCGATTAGGTACCCGTATTTATACGCAATGCTATTTAATGTTTTTAAAAGTAAGTAAGATTTGCAAAAAATATACATATAGGTACTTTTAAACATATAGTATTTCGAAAGCATTGAGAAAAGCGTGGAAAGTCTACATCTTCCTGTGGATAACGATGATGTTTTCTACATTTCTTCATGCTTGTTAACTGACAAAAATAAGAAATTTTGTAAGGAATGGTATGTAGAAAAAAAGTAATTTTTCACTGTTTTTTATAATGATTTATAGAAACATTGTAACATGAATCTGCAAAATTAGAAGAGGTTTTTTTCTCAAAAGTGAACAAAAGTAGTAGAAGAAGTTTATGAAGTATACTTTATATACCTAACATTTTGTTCAAACTTACAATTATGTTGAAAATTGCATAGAAATAGTGTTCGACTTAATTCCATTCCAAATCCTAAGGCTTTTTTGTCGTCTCTTTGTCCCATACAGTAAAAAAAAAGTTTACTCACACTAGCGTAAATTACGCATGTATTGGTATTCTATTATGTGGAAACGGGTCTCGCACACCAGTGTACGATAGCGAGTTCACCGCATTCATTCTCGTCGGCAGATGGCAGATGCAGCAGACGCGACGCTTTACGTTTTCCGTCAGTCGCGCATAGACAACGGTGAAGGCAGTGCGAGTCCGATCCGCTCAGCACCATTTTGTGTTATCGTTTCGAACGGGACATTGTGTATATGTGCTCCGTGAATAATCACAAACATCCAAACTAAGTGTCCGGTCTTCATCGAGTGTTCACTTTCGACATGTCTGTGGAGGAATCGATGCAATATCTCTGGCGCTCATAGAAACCGCGCCTCCGTCATGAACGAGTGATCGTCGACGTAAAAAAAGTTGACACAGGAAACATGTCTGGGCGGACCGCCGACGCGGATACGAGCGAAGGGTTCGAATTCGAAATTCGAAAGCGGTCATGTCATCGCCTCTCGGATTTCTTATAAGTCACCGTCCAATGTCAAAATCGTGCACGTACCGCGAGCGCCGGGCGTCGGGACAGGGACAGGCAGAGAGACAGCGCGGGTGCGCAATATGCAGTCGTTGGTAGTGTGGTGGGCCGTGGTGTCGGCGGCGTGGGCGCTGGCGGGCGCGTGCTCCTCGTCCATCTCCAAGCGGCCGGCGCGGCCCGCGCGCCCGCAGCGCCCGCCGCCGCAGCCGCAGCCCCAGCCGCGCGTCAACGTGACATTCCCCATCTTCAAATGCGAGCCCGACTACTCGGAGTACTATTGCCTGAATGGAGGCTCATGCTTCACC